TGAAAGGGCCTCGCCTTCGAGGATCGACGGAGATGACACCTCTTCCTCGGCGGAAGGTGGTGGAAGGGCGGCGGAAGCCAGCAGAAGTCAAACGAGGGCGGCTCCGCCAGAGGAAGTGGGCGGAATAGATATGTTGTCCTCCAAGGGACGATTAGGGTTCAGAGTTTCATGAAGCAGCCATTTGGGAGGCTTCTACGACCGTATTGTCAAGTTGTTGGTGGCCGCAAACCAGTATTTGGCGTCGGAGTCTTGGTGCTTTTCATCTTAGCGACGTCCCATTCGGTGAACCACCGAGCCCCCTCGGCGCACTATTCCGATGGAGCAAGAGGCCTGCACAGCACTCGCTCGCCGGCGAAAGCCCGCACTCCGCACTGTTCCGTGGCGGCGGTGTCGCAGACAACTGCCCCACAGCAAGCCGTGACGCGCCGAAGGCGAGGCCCTGTCAGGGCCGACCCAGTGTGGAGGAGGAGGAGGAGGAGGAGGAGGAGGAGGAGGAGGAGGAGGAGGAGGAGGAGGAGGAGCAGGAGGAGGAGGAGGAGGAGGAGGAGTAATTCTAATTCTAATTCTAATTCTGTCAAGTGCGTGGTCCTTCTCGCGCCACCCTCGCGCGGCCCCGACGCGCCGACGCCCCGCGGCGGCCCGGCGCAGCCTCGAGAGATCGATCGGCCTCGGCGGGCACGCTGGGGCTCCTGTGGCTCGACGGGGCACCGCGTGCGCCCAGGGACGCCTCCAACTCCTCGCCCTCCTCGCCCTCCTCCTCCTCCTCCTCGCCCTCCTCGCCCTCCTCGCCCTCCTCCTCCTCGCCCTCTTCCTCGCCCTCCTCGCCCTCCTCCTTCTCCTCCTTCTCCTCCTCCTCCTCCTCCAGGGGAACGCATCCGTCGGGGTTGGAGCCGGCTGTGGGTCATGAGGGGGCCCAGCACCGGCTCCGGTCCGCAGGAGGAGGGGGCGAGGCTGGAGGTCCCAGGGCTCGAGGAGGTGCTTCGCCTCCTCCTCCTCCTCCTCCTCCTCCTCCTCCTCGGCGCTGGAAAACAGGCCGGGGGTGAAACTCTGCACCAGATGGATTTTGTGAGGGGTCGTGGAACCGATTTTGAGCGGATTTGTCCTTATCCCTTCTTGGCAGATCTTCTCGGGGCCCATTCCAGACCGCCCAGGCGCCCACCAACCAGGCAAATGCATCCGTCTGGGTGTGAGCGGCGACTTGCTCGGAGCACTTCTACCCTCTCAGGCGCTGAGGCAAGACGACGCTGACGCATCCAGGGTGGCAACGCAGACAGCAAGAGGGCACCTGGCTGCTTTGCGGGAGCCAGGTGCTGGTGCAGCAGGGTAGCCTGACACTCTGGCGCTGGTTTGGGTCACGGGCGGGTCGTTGTTTTGAGCCCCGAGGCTCCGCCTCCGCATTTGCTGCATACGGTGAGGTTGTACCACTGTCGCAGGTGATCGTTGCGTCATATCTGGCCCCGCACTAAACCTCTTGTTCGATTTGGGAGGCTGCCGATGCGATCGTAGCGACCATGAATCGGGGCACAATTTTTGTCAGTGAGCGGTATGCCCTGTCCCAGCACCCCCACCCTGCGATGTAGACACGGCTCATAGTTAGCCATGTGGTGACGGAGGGTTGACAATTTCTGTCCAACATGCTCAGTCATGTTGCTTTGTTTAAGGGTCGCCTATCACTCAACCAGGTGAGGGAAGAGGGGCTCTATGAAGACACCGCGTCCCACTGTACGCATTACATGGGCAATCAGCGCCGTCACAGTTGGGGTTTACACATACAGGCCTCTGGCGTGAAGATGCAAACAGTCGAAAATTCGTAACTGTTGCTGTGGCTTTGGTGCTGGTCGTCACGCGCTGCGTCCCCGCGCTGCAGATGCAGTTTCCGTCGGCGTTCGGTGGCTCACGCAGCTGCAGGGCTCATTTCGACTCCTCCACTCGAATCGATTCGATCTCTATCGATTCCGATTCCGCCTCGATTCGACCTGGGATTCCGAACTGGGCTTCGGTTTCTCCACGGATGCTTTCTTAGCCTGCCGATGTCCGCCGATTCGACGCCTTACGACTTGATTTTCGGGGCACCGGAACTCGACACCAGCGCCAAGATCTTTTCGGGAAAGAGACCCTGAGTCTCAGTCTCATACCCTCGTCACTGTCTTCGCGCTCTTCGTCTGGCCGCTGTTAAAGAAGATATGGAGGACAGATGTAGGACGCCGCGGACCCTCCCCCTCTTCCTTTCCAGTGAGCCCCATGACGCCAAGGTGCGCTGTGAGGCCTCGGGCCCTGCGAGCCCCTCGCGTCTTGACATTCGCCCTTCGGGCTCCATGGGGCCTGGGATGTTCGGCGGCCCTAGCGTGCCCTGGGGCTTTAGGGGGCCCCGCTCACCCAGCCAGTGTCCACAACTTTTCCAGTGGCAACTTGATGCCGGCACTGGCTTTTCAACACTGCTTTTTGTCGGAAAGCCGACGCCAGCACCAAGACCCCCATTGGAACGAAGCCCCCGAGGGTGCGTAGTCCTGCGAGGATTTTGCAGGCATTGCCTGGGCCTGAGATTAAGTCGGGCCCGTCCCTCTACAGGGAGATTATTCAAAAATAGTCAAAAAATTGTCTGGGGACTGTTTTTGGCCAATTCTTGAGCGGTTGGGGTATTTTTTTAGTATTTCTTGTTTTTTTCTCCCCCTGCTGGGCTCTCGCGGATGGGCCTCGTTGGCGGACCTCACAAGCGATGCTTACCTTTTCTCCCTCCACTTTTCTCCCTGGCGGTTCGGTGAACAAGGCTTGACCTGGCTCAAACGCAAATCCAATTCAATTGGGACAGAAGTGTTTGGTGCGGGTCTCGGTTCTCTGTTCTCCCAGATTCGGCTGCCGATTTCTGAGGATCCGATCCATGTCGATCGTCTATCCGGCTTATCGATTCGATTTTGGAGTCTCCTGGTTGTCGGCTGCCACCAGTCTTGGCTCTCGCGCGGGGCGGCGCCGCGTCGTCGGGCGGCTCTGCCGCACCGTCGGGCGCACCTGCGCTCCAGCACGGATGCCGCCAGGGTGATTTCCGCCTGAGGAGGCGCCCCGCGCGCCCACAACGTGCTCGCGCGGCAAGCTGGCCAAGGCACGGACACCCAACCGATGGGAGCCTTGGGCGGCGACATTGACGCCAGTTCGTCTTGCATCTTCACCCCATTCGGTCTCTCTTCCTGCTCCATCTCGCCACTCCTGCTCCTCCCGCCGCTCCCTGCTCTTCTCGTCTAACTCGTGGCGGCGCGCATGCGGTCTCGACATCTTGTCCCACATGTGTTCCAAACCTGTTCAGCATCATGCCCAGATCGGACAGAGCTGGGGGGCACGTACACATGGTTCATTTCTAAGTATTCGAAAGTTCTTTGATTTTTGTTGGGGGCCCAGATCCTTTCATGTCTAATGCTTCTATCCTGGGCCTCTTCCTGGCCACTAGGGGAGCAAGAACAACTAGAAACGAGCACAATTAGAAGCCAGCATGAGTAGCCAACGGCGTGGGCATCCCAGAGGTTGGGCCCGGGATGGCGAGGGGAGCCGAGCCTCGCTCGCTGTCCCGGAGCCCCGAGCGAGCTGGCGAGCTCTGGGCACTCGTGTGCGCCGTGGCTGCGGGCGTCTGCGCCCTCGGAGGAGCAGGAGGAGGCCAAGGAGGAGGCCCAGGACGAGGAGGAGCAGGAGGAGGCCAAATGAGAGAGGAGGATGACACCAAGAACGAGGAGGAGCAGGAGGACGAGGAGGAGCAGAAAGAGGCCAAATGAGGCACGAGGAGGAGCAGGAGTGGACCGAATGAGACGTGAGGAGGACACACCAGGAGCGAGGAGGAGCAGGGAGGACGAGGAGGAGGAGGAGGAGGAGGAGGAGGCCAAGGGCGAGGAGGAGGCCAAGGGCGGAGAGGAGCAGAGGGAGAGGTGGGCACGGTGAGCCTCTGCCTGCCCACCTCTGCCTCGGTTGTGCTGCGCAGTCGGTTGCTCGAGTACGGTCAAGACGCTGAAGTGAGGAACAGTTTGGGTTCGGAAAGGGCTCGATGTTCCTGAGGTTCCTCCAGTGCTGTTCCTCTTGCCCTCCTGGGGCACGGAGGCGCTTACAGGGCCAAGAAGGGGCTTCGTTCCTCATTTAGCGTTCCTTCTTTCAGCCCGACTGTAGGCCTCCCAGATGGGGTCGGAGTAGATGAGGGCCGAGGATCGCGCCGCATCGGCGATGCGTTGACGATGCGGCTCGATGCAGAGCCTCATTTTCTCTTGGCCGACGTCGCCGATGCATAGCCGACATCGACGCGACGATGCCTCGCCGGTGCATCGCCGATGCATCAATGAGACGGCGCGATCCTCCGACCCCATCTACTCGGACCCCATCGAGGAGGCCTCTACAAGAGCAGCTGGCCGCTCAGAAAGGCAGCGAAGCTCGGGGATGCAATCCCGGGGAGGCTATTTGGCCGCACCCCTACTCGAGGATGTGCGTTCGATCGAGGGCGGACCCCTTATCAGGGTGGACTCGACACCAGCACCCTTTTATCAGGCAGAGGTGGGCACCGTGCCAAAGGTTCAGGATCGAAACAAAAAGTATGTGTTCAGGATGGGTCGCTGGTAGCACGAGGCTGGCCTCGCGGATTCAGGCGCCGTATTCACGGACGTGACCGGGCGCACACGCCATTCGTTGGTTTCTTATTGGCACGTTGTCGCAGTTATCTTCAAGCTGCAGGGAGAAGAGCATTCAGAAACAATAGAGGGGTCGTCACCAGAGAAAGTGGAACGAGGCGCAACCAAATAGCAAGGACCAGCACAGACCTCGAAGAACCACCACCAGACTAAGAAGTGTTCACAGCAAGATTGCAGTGGCGGCGACAGGTCCCCCCAGGGGCGCGAAGGCAATCGCGCGTGGCACACTGCGTGGCGCGATCCTCGAGGTGGCGTGGAGGGAGGATCCGAGGGGGATCGAGGAAGGGTCGAGGAAGGGCCGAAGAGGGATCGCTAAGTGGCGTACGTAGAGAAGACCCGCCCCAGGAGTTCCGCCGCCGCCGCGGCATCCCGCCGCAGGCGCCGGCTGGTGCCGCTGGGGCGCCGCCTCCGTTGGCGGACAGCTTTCCCATCGGCGTGTCGATCATGGGGCACCCGCTGCACCAGGCTGCGTCTGCAGCTGCTCTCTGAGTCGTCGTCGTCGTCGTTGTCGTCGTCGTTGCCACACCACTCGCAGAAGGGAGCCACCCACACCACCAGAGTGCCCAGCCAGGGCCACCCTAAGCGCCAGGATGGTGTATGGCGCCCCTGGCTCAGGAGGGAAAGAAACACACAGACACAATTTGATCGTCGACTTCCAGGAAAATATGAGAGAATATGGGAAGTGGGGGGGACGACAAATACCCAGAAAATATTGAAACATATGGAGAATCCTGCTATTTGTGTGTATTTTTGTGTGTGTGTGTCCCTGGGCTCCTTTACTGGCCTCCGCCAGGATGGTGCATGTGGCCCCCTTGGCCTTGGCCAGGATGGCGTACACACCCTGCCAGGGCGGCGAGAGGAGAGGGCACCCACATGGCGAGGTGCGTCGCCGTGGAGCGGCCGGGGCTGCCAGCCAGTGCTGCACCCAGCGTGAAGCGGGCATGTAGGCATCCGGGCCGACGCTCCTGGAAAAACGCATTGAAGTCAAAGCCGCGTGGACGTCTCCACCACGTTCGCAGTCGCACGGGCGTAGGATCCCCTGCGTCTCCCAGATGTCCGCAGAAGGCGTCGTCGCAGATTTCTACCCTGCCTGGCCAGGGCCTGGGCCCTAGGATTGTTCATAGACCCCCCTGGGCAAGGCCAGGATGCCGCATACACAATGCAAGGGCCTAGGATGGCCACGGTCAGGCATGACGGTGGTGTACAGAGGCTCTCTGAGCAGCCTGTTCCAGCGGCGTGGCTGGCGCGGTGGGGAAGGACTGGCAGGGCATCGGGAGCAGACGCAGGGGTTTGTGCATCCGTTGGCAGACGTCCCATGCACCCGCAATCTGAAAATATCGCGCAAGGCGCCAAAAGTCCAGGCCAAGTCTGACTTTGGTGAGGCACGACTTAGCAGAACAGCAACCGAGCGAAATGCCTAGGACACGATGGACGCGATCTGCGTCTTCGGGGAGGGCAAGACTGCCAGGCTGGAGGCGCTTGAGAGGACGCACTCCTGCGGTCGACCACGTGCGAAGTCACTGGAGCATTGAGCCCGTCCATCATCAAGCATGCGAAGCGGGACAGAGCTGAGGACGTCACCTCGTTGCTGAATTGATGGGGCTGCTCGAGCGAGCGGGGCGACGCCGCCCGCCAGCATGGGACGCGGTGCGCGCCCGCGCACTCACAAGTGCTTCTCACTTGGTCGGTCCCCGCGGACGCGGGACCAGCCAGCTTGCACGACGTGTCCTTGGTCGTCCCAACAGTGGTCCCAGGCCTGCTGCAAAAGCATCGCCTCCCGCGCACCGCGGTGGGCAGCAGCCGCTCCCATGCACGGCTGGAGTCAGGCGCCCCATGCGCACGAACGACCGAGACCTGCGCGCCCGAGCGGATGAGGACGCTGGGGCTCGGCCTCGCGCAGAAGCAGAGCCCCCCTCCTCGTGTCCGCCCTGCTCCCGTGGGCGGCACTCACATCCGTCTCCGCGGCCTCGCGGGCCGGGCCCTTGGGCCGTGACCCCGCTGCTGCGGGGCGCCTCTTCGCGGGCGCCCCGGAGGCATCCGTGCGACCGTGTGCCCGCGGGATCGCGCCCCAGGATCCAGACCCGCCGCCTTGGCTTAAGTCGGGCCTGTCCCTCTTCAGGAGGAGTATTCAAAAATGGTCAGAAAATAGTCGGCCTACTCTATTTTTGAATATTTGTTTGATTTTTGTTGGTTTGGCTGTTTTTGATGTTTCCTCGAAGTTCGGCCTGTAGGAGGACAGGCCCGACCTGAGCCTTGGCCGTGGACTGCAGCACGGCTCCGCGGGCGCAGGCGCGCGCCCCTCGACTGGGCCCGAGGGCACGACCAGTTGCCAATGGCTGCTTCCTCTTGGCACCAGGCTCCACTGGCTGCACTGGAATGGGGGGACCAGTACAGGCGGCCTGGATTAGTAGGTCGACCCTGCCAGATCAAGGGTACCCTCGTGTCCTGTGCCTGGCGACCCATGCAGGCAGCGCCGCCATCCCCTCACCCCCGCCTGATCCCCACGCCTCGAGAGGCTCCCCCCCAGACCTTCCGCCGCCCTCTCCCTGGCCCCGCTCCCCGAGCCCTCCCCCGGGTATACCTGGCATCGCTCGGGCGTGTGCATTTTGTGTCGGCGAGAACCATCGAGGACCATCCCCTGGACCATCGAGCAGAACAAAGCACGCACGAAACCGACACATGCACGGGACATGGACGTCCGAGCGATGGCACGTATAGCGTATAGCCGTTTCGGCTCCGCCTTTGCTCGGCCACGCCCGCGCCGTCCCCAGAAGTCCGACGCGGTGCTCGGTTCGCAGCGTGGCTCCCCAGGACCCCTCCCGCCAGACCGGCCTCCATCCCGAGCTGATTGTTTGCACGGCCCCAGGGCTCGGCAGGGGCACCCGAAGGCAAACATTGCCCAAGTCTGTGCGTCGCGACGTCGTCACGGCGCGAGGAGGTCCAGGCCAGCCACGCCTCGGCATCGTGGAGCCGAGCCCCAGCCATCCCCACCACACCATTCGGGGGCCACATGCGAACCCGACCCCTACCCCCCACGATTTCTGAGGGGGAGGGTGGGGTTCGCTCCGTTCGGTAACCATGGCATTTCAGCCCCACCAGCCCACCCACCCCCAGGGGTGGATGGGCCCCGCGGGACCCAGAGCGAACAGCGCTCATCACCATCCAGGGGGGGAACGCGGGGTCGGTGCGGCAGAGGCCAGGGCCGCGGGGATGGGCGATCGGCTCAACGATGCTCAGCGCCCGCGCCGTCCTCGCCCATGGGGGGCGCGCTGTGCCCCCGCGGCCAGGGCGCCCGCGTGCGCCCGCGGGGAGCGCTCGCCGCCTGCCTCTGCGGGGCCCTGGCGGCGGCGGCGGCCTGGGCGGGCGCGGCGGCCTTCGCGGAGGCGGCCCCGCCGCGCCGGAGGCGCGGCTCGGCGGCGGCGGTGCGCCAGTGGGCCGTCAGCGCGCTCGGTCCACCAGCACGGTGTGGCCCAGAGGGCGGCGCCTGTGGGTCAGGAGGGGGAAGTGGCACCGGTGCCACTGCTGATGGGCCTGTTTTCCACCACCACCACCACCGCTACCATAAGTTGAAAGGGGAAAGGAGGAGGAGGAGGAGGAGGAGGAGGAGGAGGAGGAGGAGGAGGAGGAGGAGGAAGAGGAGGAACCCCTCCTCCTACTTGTGGTGGTGGCGGTGGAAAGCAAGCCCACCTTTCGCCTTTTCGGGGGGCCTCCGGGGAGGCCCGCGGCGCCGCCGCCGGACTCGCCTCCACGGCCTGGTCGGAGCGCCCCAGGGGGAGGGGTCCTGGGAGCACTCAGGAGGGGAAAAAACACACAGACACAATTAATCGTCGATCCCCAGGAAAATATGGGAAAATATAGGAAGTGGGGGGGAAGACAGAAACCCAGAACATATGGGAAAGCATGGGGGAAGCAGTTTATTTGTGTGTATTTATTTGTGTGTGTCCTTGGGCCCCTTGAAGCACAGCGGCATCGGCATGCTTTGGGTCCCCCAGGTGGGGCGCGGCGGGCCTGCGGCGGGCGGCCGCGCAGCGGCGGGGGCGGCGCTGCCTGGCGGCGGCGGGCGTGCGCCGGCGGGCCGGGCGCGTGTTCGGCTGGGGCAGCGCGGCGGGCCCGGGCGTGGCCGCGCTCGAGGACGCCATCAGGTCGGCCGACGTCGTCTTCTTCGACGACCCCGCGTGCCCGTACTGCCGCAAGGCGGAGGTGGCGCTGAGGGCGGAGGGCATCGACTTCACGCTGCTCCCGATTGCCGAGCACAGGGAGGCGCTCGAGGCCAAGACGCGGAAGACGTCCGCGCCATCCGTTTGGGTCAAGGGCACGTACATCGGCGGTTGCAACGATGGCACCGAGCCGTGGCACGGCGTTAGGCCATGCATCGAGAGCGGCCTGATCAAGGAGTTGCTCGAGGACCCTGCCGTTAGATCGGCAAGGACCAAGGTGCTCAGGAGTATGCTCGCGGAGCTTCAACAGAGGGCCGACAAGGAAGAAGCGGAGAAGCAGAGCCTCGCTAAGGAGGTCGAGCAGCTGGAGGCGTCGGCGGCTGCCGTGGAGAAGGACACGAAGGCCGCCGCGCAGGAGGCGCTTGACATGCAGGCCAAGATCGAGCTTGCGGAGAGCGAGACCGAGTCCTTTAAAGCGGCGCTCGTCAGCGTATCTGAGACGGTGAGCGCCGCGGTCTACGGCCCCGAGAGCGACCCCATTCAGTTGCTGAAGGTTGCTGTCACGGACATTGCTGCCAGCGAGGAGAAGGCGGCACAGCTCTTGAGGAAGAAGCAGGAGGCCAGCCGGCGGGCCGAGGCGCTCGGGAAGAAGCTCGAAGAGGTCGCCAGGGCCCGGGGCCGGCTGGAGGCGGCCAGGGAGAGAGCGAAGAGGCTCTCCGCGGGCATTGACGCCATCGCGACCGGCGTGGGCGTGGGCGGCGGCAACCTGTTCTCGATTTTCTCGGACCCTTTGCATTGCTCGAACGTGTGCATTCTTTCCTCGGCGAGGACCTTCGAGGAGCATCCTCGACCATCTGGCGAAAAAAAACGCGCACGACACCGAAAAAAAGCACAGGGAATGGACGTCCGAGCGATGGCCAGGACCAGACGGATGAGGGGAAGATCAACTCCATCCTGGCGGCGCGTGCAAGGGATTGGGGCGAGGGGGGGGCGGTCTTCTCGGAAGGCAGGGGGTGTCACAGCGGCCCTCCTTCCTTCTGAGAAGCCCCCTTCTGTTTGACACTTCCGACCTCTCCTCAGCCCGCCTCGCCTTCTCAGAGGTCCCCCGGCCTAGCCCCGCTCTCTTTTCTGACGGGTTCGTGCCGCGTCGACGCGGCGGCGACCTCGGCGTGGAGTTTCATCGTTGAACGCTGCCGTTGCGCCGGGGTCCAGGATCAGCCGATATATCGCCAGATCCGCGCTATCGGAAAGCCGCGATCGTTCAAGCTCGAACGATCCACGCGGTATGCAATCAGTCTCCAGGTCCCTTCCGAGGTCCGCCTTGGGTTGTGATTCTAGTTGCGTCCAGCTGTGCTGTGGCAACAAGGACCCCGAAGGAGATTTACAAAACGGCAAAAGACATTCATCTCATGCCCCCTTGACTCAGAATCCTGGTCCACCCTCCCCCGAGGACCGTGACCCGTTCCCAGAGGCGATGTTTATCCCTGGGTTTGCTTCTGTTGCTGATGGTCGCGGAGGCCCCCCAACCAGCCAGGATTGAAGCATTTCAATCCGCCAGATGTCTGGGTCGCCCCGTCCCCCCTTGTGCGCGGCGCCAGCCGTCCTGGAGAAGGTCAAGGCTCGCGGGCGGGAACACACACATCCATACCCGCGGGCTCCGCCGACGAGCGGCATTCGCCCTCGTCGAGCTCACTAGGATGCCCGTGCAGGCCTCTGCGGACCTCGTGTGGACCCCGTCTGAGTACGAGCGATATGCGCGGGCTCCGCCGTCTGGACCACCCCAGCCGATCGTGGGGCGGCCCTGCGCGGGATGCCCCGCTCGGAACGTGCCCATGGGGGCGCGCCTTGGCTCGGGGGCAAGGGTGGGGGGGTACACTTTAGGCGATGCTTAAGAAAACCCAAGTTTTCGGCCAGAGTCTCGATTATTCTCAATGTTTCGATGTAAATCCCAAGATTTGAATTGACATTCTGGGTTTTTTATATTCAAATTCTGAGACTATGAATTTCTTGACCCATGATTTCTAAAGCATTTCGCAGGGTGTAGGTGGGAGCGCATTGGCCCCCAGTCGCCGAGGGGGGCCGCCAAGGCCCGCTCCGCCCAGGAGCGCGCGGCTTCGCCCATCCGTTTCCCAGCGCCGGCTCCTCGGCGAGGCGCGTCGCCGAGTCCAGGCCGATGCTCCCCCCCGCCCCTGAGCTGGTCCCCCCCCCTCGTTGGGACCCATCGGTTTCGATATCCCTCTCGAGAGACCTTCTGATGGGCCCCCTCAGGGGGGGCAAGGTAGGCAGCCCCCCGAGCTGCGGCTGCGGCGGAGTGGGGGCTTGCCTCGGCGCCCAGACCGCGAGGGTGAAGGGATGTGGAATTGTCTCGCCACCGCGACAAAGATCTTGGGAGAACATCGCATATATCCGCGGCCTCGCGGGCCGGGCCCCTGAGCCGCGCCCCCGCGGATGCGTGGCGTTTCTTTGCGGAAGCCCCGCGCGGAACGTGCCCGTGCGACCGCGTATCCGCGGGAACGCGCCCCGGAATCCAGACCGCGACTCTCAGATCCGACGGAGCGAAGCGTTTGGAACACCGCACAGAAGTCAAGACCGCAGCCCCAGACCCCATCTTTCTGCGCCACTCTTTTCCGAGCCGGATCGGTCTCTGAGGGCTCCGGGGTCCGAAATTGGGCGACAAACGCCCAGTTCGCAAACATTGAGACGCTTGGATTTCATGGGTGTGCGCGGATATGGATACGTCTGCCGCTCGCGACACGAGGCCGTGCAGACGTAGCGCCCCATGCAGCCTGCGTCGGCGGGGCCCGCTGTGGACCCTCGCGGCAGTCCTGGGCCGCGGCGCGTGCGGCGGGGCGCCGGCTGTTAGGGGCGCCGGCCGGGCACGCGCGCGTCCAGCGCCCACGGCAGCGCGCACCCGACGCAGTCTGCGGCCGATGTGGGACCCTGGGAGGGAGCTGTTGCCTTTTCAACCTGGCTCGAGTGTCAGTCCTGGCAGAACTCCGAGGGCATTGCCCGTGGAAGCCTGTCAATGTCTGGCCGATGTCCTTCACGATCCCAGCCAGACGGAACCACACTCTTCTGCGATATGAGAGACGGATCGGAGACGGAACCACGCTCACTGCGACCGCTATGGGACCCTGCCTACCCCACCTGCGACCCTATCCCAGGCATGCTCGCGTCGTTAGACAGGCAGAACGGGGGGCTGTTCCCAGCTTGGGGTCCCTGGGTGCCCCTACAGAGCCTTACAGGGCCCCGGGACCGTGAAGCAAACACTCAGGATGAAATATTCGGGGAAGGGGTCGAGACTCGGGCCGGACGAAAGTCAAGCAGTGGCGAAGCGTCCCGGCTCGCCTATAGCCCCATTATAAAATGTTATAAGAACCTTTTGTGGTTCCCACGAAATGTTCTTAGAACATGTCTGGTTGGCACTTTCTTGTTTTAACACATCTGGTTTATGTTCGAAGAACATTGTTCTTGTTATTACAACATTTTTGTCTTCTAAGAACATTTCGTGGTATGACTAAAGTAATGCCGGGACGGTCGGTCCCTGCTCAAGAAAGGGGGGGATTGGGAAAGGGGGGTTACGAAATTGTTTACGCTTCGCGAGTCCCCACCAGCCCATCCAAAAGCAGCCGCTCGAAAAAGGTGCGCTGACCGTAGGGTGTTTTCTCTTCCTTCTCCCTCTCTTTGGCTTCGTTCTTCCATCCTCCTCTCCTTCTCCTCGTCCTCGTTGCTCCTTCTCTTCGTCCTCCTCCTCCTCCTCCTGGCGTTGCCGTGCGATCTTGGGGCTCTCTTGGGATCTCAGGGAATCGTGGCCCTGGGGCTCTCTTGGGGCTCTCTTGGGGCTCATTTGGGAGTCTTGAAACCCTCTCGGGGCTCTTTGTAAGAGTTTGGGAGGTTTCTTGGGGCCATCTTGGAGGCCATCGGGCAAAGAAGGAGAGAGCATTTATTGGTGTACCCCCGTCGGGGCCCGAAATATCGCCTCTTGGAGCCCTCTTGGGCCGCTCTTGGGCGCCTGTTGGGCGCTCTTGGGGCCGTCTTGGGGCCCTCTTGGGCCGTGTTGGCCGCCTCTTGGGCCGTCTTGGGGCCCTTTTGGGCCGTCTTGGAGCCGTTTTGGGAGCCTTTTGGGCCGTCTTGGGGCGGTCGTGCGGGCCTTTTGGGCTGTCTTGGAGCGTCGGGAAGCCGAAAGGGCGGGAACGCTAAAATGTTTGAACTACTTAAGGAAACTTATGCTATGCTATGCTAATCTATGATATGTCATGCTGCGCTGTGCTATGCTAAGCTATGCTATGTCATGATATGATATGTATGCTATGCTAAGCTGCGCTATGCCATGCTATGCTATGATATGCTATGCTGCGCGATGCTATGCTATGCTATGCTATGCTATGCTGCGCTATGCTATGCTATGCTATGGTATGGTATGATAGGATTGGCTATGTTATGCTATGCTAATGCAGCGCTGCGCTATGCTAAACTAAGCTAAACTAAGCAAAGCTAAACTAAGCTAACCCTCTAGACATAGCCTAGGTCGGGAATTACACCCATGCTAATGATATGCTGCGCTATGCTATGCTATGCTGTGCTCTGCTATGCTAACGCTCAGCAAAGCTAAGATGAAGGTAGGCTAAACTAAGATAAACCGGAGCTAAGATGAAGCTAAGCTAAGCTAGGATGAAATAGGCTAAGCAAAGATGAGATAAGCAACGCTAAGCTAAGGGGACGCAACTGGGGGAACCGCGGGGCGGATCCTGGGGGAACCGCCCGGGGCGATTTCCACTGCCCGGCCCCTTTAAGCTCATAGGGTAAGAACCCTTCTAGGCAGAGCCTAGGTAGGGAACATGTGATTTTGGCATCGTGGGGCCCTCTTAAGGCGCTTCTCGGGGCTCTCTTGGAGCGTTTTGGTGGCCTCTTGGGCCGTCTTGGCCTTTCGGGGGCGTTCTTGGGAGGTTCCGCGGCCACTTGGAGCCGTCTTGGGGCGGTCTTGGAGCCTCTTGGGGCTCTCTTGGGCCGCTCTTGGGCGCCTCTTGGGCGCTCTTGGGGCCGTCTTGGGGGCCGTATTGGCCGCCGCTTGGGCCGTCTTGGGGCCCTCTTGGGCCGTCTTGGAGCCGTCTTGGAGCCCTCTTGGGCCGTCTTGGGGCGGTCTTGCATGCCTTTTGGGCTGCCTTGGAGCGTCGGGAAGCCGAAAGGGCGGGAACGCTAAAATGTTTGAAACGCCAACGGAAAATCAATGGTTTTGGCTTCTTGGGGCCCTCTTAGGGCGCCTCTCGGGGCTCTCTTCGGGCGTCTTGGGGACCTCTTGGGCCGTCTTGGCTTCTCGGGGGCGTCCTCGGGAGGCTCCGCGGCCGCTTGGGGCCGTGTTGTGGCGGTCTTGGGGCCTCTTGGGGCTCTCTTGGGCCGCTCTTGGGCGCCTCTTGGGCGCTCTTGGGGCCGTCTTGGGGCCCTCTTGGGCCGTATTGGCCGCCTCTTGGGCCGTCTTGGGGCCCTCTTGGGCCGTCTTGGAGCCGTCTTGGGAGCGCTCTTGGGGGCCTTGGGAGCGCTCTTGGTGCCATCTTGGAGGAGATCGGCCAACGAAGACGAAAGCACTTACCCTCTTGCACAGAGTGTCTAGAGCTCCGACTACTTTATCCGTAAGGGCTTCGCCCCCTGCCGCCGGCCCTCTCTCTCGGAGAATGGGCCATGGAAGAGCTAAGTCATGAGGCTTTGGCGCTGTCGTGCAGCAGTATCGGAACTTCATGCGAGGCCGATTCGCAATCGGCAAAACCAACTGATCACAAGAGGGGTTACCACACAGGGCGATTGGTAAGACGTGTATGGTTTACGAGCTTGGTTACCACACCTTGGGATTAAAGGGCCGAGGGAGTACTCGCAGTTTGGGTTACCACGCCTTGCGATGGATGTGCGTGAGGGGTGGCACCGAATTTCAGAAATGTGGCAAATCCCATGTGTTTTTGGACCCTGACCCCGCGGATCTGCGTGAGGGGTGGCACCGAATTTCAGGAATGTTGCAAATCCCCTATGTTTTTGGACCCTGACCCCGCGGATCTGCGTGAGGGGTGGCACCGAATTTCAGAAATGTAGCAAATCCCATGTGTTTTTGGACCCTGACCCCGCGGATCTGCGTGAGGGGTGGCACCGAATTTTAAGAAATGTAGCAAATCCCGTATGTTTTTGGACCCTGACCCCGCGGATCTGCGTGAGGGGTGTCACCGAATTTCAGAAATGTAGCAAATCCCATGTGTTTTTGGACCCTGACCCCGCGGATCTGCGTGAGGGGTGGCACCGAATTTCAGAAATGTAGCAAATCCCGTGTGTTTTTGGACCCTGACCCAGCGGATCTGCGTGAGGGGTGGCACAGAATTTCAGAAATGTGGCAAATCCCATGTGTTTTTGGACCCTGACCCCGCGGATCTGCGTGAGGGGTTGCACCGACTTTCAGAAATGTGGCATGTCCCCTGTGTTTTTGGACCCTGACCCCGCGGATCTGCGTGAGGGGTGTCGATTTCGAGCCCCCCCAGCAATTCAGACAACGCGCCCAGGGGACGCTAAAAGTCTTGTTTGGGCCTCCCCCCCCTCGCGCGGTCAATCAACTAGTTACAGCAACCAGCAAGAAGTCAACTAGTTACAGTAACCAGCAAGAAGCAGGATTGTAACACTGGAAACTACAAGCTACAACTGGCACAGGAAACTGCGAACCCGCGCCTACAGCCTGGTGGCCCCGCAAGGGGGCCGGCGGATTTCGGCACGGCACACCCCTTCATCACCTACACATTCCACAAGCCAGTGCGACCCTCCATCCCCCCCCCGCATCCACCCACCCACCAGCACCGACCAGCCAGTGCGCCCCTCCGCCCCGACCCCTTTTATTTCGGCACGGCACACCCCTCCGCCCCGACCCCCACCAGCACCCACCAGCCAGTGCGCCCCTCCGTCCCGACCCCTTTATTTCGGCACGGCACACCCCTCCGCCCCGACACTTTTATTTCGGCACGGCACACCCCTTCACCCCACCCCACCCACCAGCCAGCGCGCCCCTCCGCCCCGACCCCTTTAT